GGTGTCGCTCTGCCTCTCTGAGGTTATTTTGGGGGCATAGTTTGGTGTTTTCTCGCAAATCACGCTCATTGTGTGAAGCTTTCTCATCCGGGACGACAGTGAGGTGAGGGAAAGCTTCAGCCGCGATTTTGTGTCCATGTGCTTGTTTTGACTTAATTTCTCCTGCGAAGGGAGGCGTGTGAAACCTCGCAGGTTTTCACCATGTGGTTTAAAGTGCTGTGGATGTTGGGGTTTTAGTACTATGGGATTTGTTTTGTGGGGGTTTTTTTGTTTGTTTCAGTTTTTATTGGTTTTGTTGTTGTTTGGTTGGTTGTTGTCGTTGTTGTTTTCCCCCTACAGCACTTGAAACATTCACCTGTCGACCTCGTCTGAAGTAAATGGTAACGTGTTTGCATCCCTCAGGTTACAGCGTTAAGAAAGGCGCACGCTTACCCACCCTATGAACAAACAGGTCAATGCCTAAAAGAAGTGAATTTGGTGTTTCAAATTACTTGGGGAAAGGAATTTCAGCTCAGTAATTTTTACTGGTGTGCATTTAACTTAGTTCAAATGTTGGTGGCATAAAGAAGTCGAGTGTGTTTTCCTTTGCAGGCAGGAATTCTTTTTGCTTGCAGGTAAGGTGAAGAAAGTGATCCTTCCAGTGTGCTCACGTGTGGCCCAGTGTAATTAACTGGGTGTGGAAAATATGTATTTATGCTCTTTCTTGCTTCAGGATGGTGTTGTTTTAATAATGGAAGGCAACTGGGCTTTGATACTCAGTTAACACCTTTTATTTGTCTTTTTGCCAACAAGTGCACAGTGATAGCAAGAGTTCCTTACCTTACCACTCTGTTTTAACTGTGGAGTGAGTGAACTCTTGTGTGGTATCTCTACATATTTCACTGAATGGGCAAATGTGACTGTATTGCCTGGTGTGTGAGGCTGAGATCTGAGTGTAGCCACAGGTAAACACAGCCCTGTGCTTCTGATCCAGTTATGTGGCAAGGCAGCAAAGGTCCCAGCTGGGCGATGACTTCAAGGGGTCACAGAGTGTAAGGTGCCCTTTTGATACAGAGGCTGTTGTGTAAATCAGGATTTGCAGATTATCTCTGATGAAATTGTCCTGATTGCTGATGGGACAAGATTGTGTGAGGAATGTGTCAAGTGATCTGCCCTTACCTTACATGCTCCCTCCCTAAAAAGATTTCTGAAAAGAGAAAAATCACCTCTGATGAAGACAAATCCTGGTACCAGGTAAGCACATGGGAAATTCAACAAACCAAGATTTCCCATCTTCTCCCAGAAATGGACGCAGAAAATATTTAATCATTCAAGACTTAAGTGTTAAGAGTCTAATAGTCACTATTGCTTTGTTTTTAGTAATGCTTTGGTTTTTCAAAGAGTCATTTGTCCTGCACATTTTTTCTTTGATGACAACTTGGTTTTTTCCAGCACTGAACATCAGTACTTTGATCCAGGAGTGACTGGTATATATTGGGTTGTGAGCAGATAGTTCTCTTTCAGTCACTTTATAATATTATATAGATATATCCATGTACAATTGAAAGCTAATGACTTTTTGTCCCTTTAAAGTATTTTATCCAGATGGTTATTCATAAATGTGTAGTTAAGAATCTGGTCTCTCCTTTCAAAAAGGAATTGATGTATATAAATACTTCTAATTAGTAGGTTCTGACATTAAAATACTTCTTGTTAGTATGTCCTGCAGGTTACAGTATAGGTGTTAACATATTTTGTAATGGTAAAATAAAGATTTCATTTTATCATTTCTGCACTGTGTACATGATGTTTCAATGCCTCAGGATAGTGAAGCAATGAGGAGAAGTAAATAGATCACCAATGTGGCTGGTAATTTTCTCTTTAAACTGACTGATGATTAAGATGATAAAGCTATTACCAAGCTAAGAAAGAAAGTGTTTGAAGAGTACATAGGCAGTAAACAAGGAGCCCATATGGATTTAGAAAAGGGAGGTAATGAGTGTAAAAAATTATGTTTTGGAAGTAAGATGTGTCAAAAGAGTTTCCAAAAGCCAATTTGAGATAGTTTTCACAACAGAAAGAGCAAGAAAAAGAAGGAAAGCAGTCGCCATAAGCAAAGCTCAGTGTGAAGCTAATCCCAGAACAAAACAAATTTCTTTCTTGTCCTTTGAATGTGAACATAGGTGTTGGTACCCAGGCTGCAGAGCCCATGGGGTTTAGAAAAGGGAAGCTGTGTGAGAAGCATTCATTCTGCCTTCTCCCTCAGCCCTGGGGCTCTGGTTGGAGCTAGGGACAGGGCCATGTGTTGGGGTACAGTGGGGCTGACCCAGTGTGCTCTGGCCATGGACTGGAGAGCTCCTCTGAGCTCCTGTCCGCAGCACAGGCTGGCACTGGTGATTGCTGAAACAGCAGGACAGTCCTGAGCAGGCACTGGTGTGTTCAACAATCAGTAAGGAAGAAGTAGGAGATGTGACTCAGGATAGATCAAGCCAGGCTATGTTGATTTTTCTGTGCCAAAACCAATGGTTTCTGGAATAACAAAGGCCAGCAAGTTCTCCTTGTTGTGCTCCTCTGACACTTCTAAGCTTGCCCTGTCCCTACAGTTGCCTCTTTCCTCCTCAACGCCTGGGGAGCAGAGGATTTTGAAATGTGGATTGTCAGTATTTAGAGGTACTGGATGACCTCTTGGGGTTAAGAGATGTCTGGGCAGGGACATGGAAAAGGATGAGCAGAAGTTGCAGGAAACCTAAACTGCATTTGAATTCTAGGAAGCTTTTCTAGAGGATATGAACATATAAATAGCCTTATTGTTAGTGTGCATGTTTAATGCCACCTTGGGGTCTGTCCAACATAACCCTGTTAGACTTACTTAGATTTAGTAACTTTTCATTGCAAAATCTCAGAGTTAAAGTGTATATTAAATATTTTATGTGCAGTGCAGAGTGATAATAATAGGAATACGCACACACACGCATTTCATCAGCTGTTAGTAGAAAGACGCCTACTTTAATACTCTTAAAACCTCCTTTTAAATTTATTTTTTATTTCTTTCTTGCACCACTTCTTGAAGGAGTCTGCACCTCTTGTGGACACCAACCTTGCATCTCTGGCAGAAGCCTCCAGGTGCACTCAGTGGAGCAGCCTGGCCATGGCTGTGGCTGTGTTGCAGGAGCCCAGGGAAGCATTGGGCAAGCACTAGCCCTGACCTGTGTGCCCACAGCCTGCCTTTCCTGGGGCAGGGAGCTGGGGAGCAGGCACCTACATGTAGGCACCACCGCCGTGCAAACTGGGCAGGCAGAGCGTGAAATCTGGCATGGTTAGCATGACAACACAGACACGGCCTTCCAGACAATAAATAGTCAGTGGTTGCAAAACACCAGGCACTTCTGGAGGAGGAGATGGAATTTCCACTAGGTGTTCCAGTTGATGAAATTAGATTTATGAGTTTCAACTGATTCAGGACTTCAGGCTTTAAGACAGAATCGCCAAATCCTTTCAAGTTCCCTAAGTGCCTCCCACTTTGTCGTTTCAGGATGCTCACCAGAACCCCGAGTGTTGTTGCCCAAGTGTTCCTTCTTCTAAGCATAGTCCTTGTTATTGCCATTGCAGTGATTCAGATAAATCAGCAACAGGTCCTCTCCCCAGGGCTTAAGGTAAGTCTTAGGCAACCTCAGGAAGGAGAACAATGTTTTGAACTGGTATTTAATAATGTGCCTTTCTAAACCCATTTTTATGGGGTGATTCAAATGAGCTTACAGCCATAAATTAATGTTTAATCATATCATCATGGGAAAACTGAAGCTGAGAGAAAAAGATAATTGGTCAAGGGTCAGTAGCAAAGCAGGAAAAGTATTTCTTGATTCCCTCTCTGTGGTGGCTATGTCTTCTTTAGGACTGAAAGGCCAAATGGGGCGAATATCTCACTCCTTTTTTTTTTTTTTAGTTTTGCCAGAAATTGGAAGTAATTTTAGAATAATTTTGAAGTGGGAAATACCCAGAGTTTAAGTTCTGGCCCCAAGCACAGCTGGGAAGTTTATGCTGATAGTTTTGCAAATTGCTCCTGTGTATCAAAAGCATTTGGGCTCTAAGTATGCACTTGATCCTTTACCACGTGTTGGGACTTGCTGGATGCTAACGGAAGCAAAGTAACTTCTTTAAGGGGGGCAGAGCAAACTGCAAAAGACAAACTGAAATACTCTGAAGATCAGGTTATGCCTTCTGCTGTGGAATATGTGTGCAGGTTCTTCAATGAGAGATGTAAACAACTGAGGAAAAGCTGTAGAAAATACCTTTCTAAGGATATGTAGGGTACTGGTTTTTTCCCACGATCCTCTTGTCAGATTTTGCTTTGAAGTCCCTTCTACCTTTCCATCTGCATGAGTATTTAACTGGATAGTTCACACACTGATAACCATAGGCTAATGCCTCGTTGCACTTCATGGGATTATAAACACCTTTGGCTTTGTCTGAATCATTTGGTGCTGTGTGTGAGTCAGACAACAGGATAAAACTATAATTCTGATACCCCTTTTATGTGTTTGTGTGGTGTGGCAGGGGGAGTGTGCTGGGCTTGTGCATGGGGCCACAGTGCCTCGAGCATGTGCTCTGTTGAGCCCCAATGGCTTCTTGCAGCAGCCTCACATCCCACCAGTTTTCATGCAAGGCAGGACTGGACTGACATGTATCCCAGCTGAAGGCAGGACAAGGCTGCAGCCACTATCTAAAAGACAGCCTGCACATCTTTTGTGTTTGTCATTAATTCAGTTTCACATCCAGAATGATAAATCTGTTTACCTTCCTCTTTGAGGAAGCATTGGAACCACCTGGAGTATCTGGAGCTGGTTTAAGGGGGGAGCTTTGCTTACTGAATCACAGCAGCGTCTGTAGGAAGGCTGCTGTTTCCTCTACTGGGTGTGCCTTGGCCTTGGGTTTGAGTTTGGGCTGTAAGCCTGCTAATGCAGGTGATATGGAGGACCCTGAGTCTGATTCCTGAGACACTGAGTTGTCCTCAGTGAGTAATTTACATTCACAAGAAATTCACAGGTAGAAGGAGGACCTTGGTAAGCCAGTGGAGCCCTCCAGTACCTGGCTGATATGGAGCCTGGAAATTACTTAACTTGGTGTCCTGAACTTAATGGTTGTTTGAAATTAATTATGGCAACAACATGATGAAAGCAGATTTATTTTTTGTAAATGGCCTCATTCTTCTGTTACTACTGTTTGTGTTACCTGTGGCACAAAAGCTCTTTCCCAAGATGTATGTTGAGAGCATCCATTGTGGCACAAGAGATAAATTATATGCTGTGCCACTGGTATTTTAAACTGTTGTTGCAAAATTGAATGTTTTGGATCCTTGATGGCTGCATTATCTGAAGACTGAGCCAGTGATTAGTTCAGGAAGGGCCTGCCCATTGCATGAGGCTGGGGCAGTGAGAGGACTCATGACTCACTGACACACACCATGAAGTGAGAAGAGTGATGAAGAAAACACAAATGTCCTCAGTGGAGAAGTGGTGATAGCGCTGAATGAAATAAGCCTTTATACAAGTAAAAAAAAAACAAAAAAAAAAAACTGTTTGTCTACTGCTGTTTTCTGAGCCCTAGAGAAAAAAAAAAAAAACCCCACTTCATTATTGTATTTTTTAATTTGCCCCTCGAAATGTGTGATATTTTCGATGTCCTCTGTTGTGGGAGGAAAGATGAACCTGACTCCATGTTCTTAGAAGGCTAATTTATTATTTTATGATCTATATGATATAAAAGAATGTTATACTAAACTATACTAAAGAATGCAGAAAGGATACTTCCAGAAGGCTTAACAAGATACTACTTAAAAACTTGTGACTCTCTTCTCCAGAGTCTGACACAACTTGGCCATCATTGGCCAAAAAGTAAAAACAATTCACATGTTGGATAAACAATCTCCAACCACATTCCAAAGCAGCAAAACACAGGAGAAGCAAATGAGATAATATTGTTTTGCTTTTTCTCTGAGGCCTCTCAGCTTCCCAGGAGAGAAATCCTGGGCAAGGGGTTTTCCTAGAAAATATGACCATGACAGAGGTGCTACAGTTTTCAATACCTAAATTTTTCATGTCTCTTTTGGCTCTTAGGAAGTGTTTTGCATTGTTTGTGGCAGTTGTACTTGATTAAAAATTGTTCAAACCCATGCAGCTGAATTGAAGCGTGCGTCTAGCATAGATCCACTTTTGTGACCTCCATCTTCCCTGCAACTGGTTTAGCTTGTCAGCTTCTCTCCAAATTGTTTGGCAGCTTCCAAAGTGATTGGAAGGCAGGTGATCCACCATAACTGTGCCTGCTTCAAGGGTTTGTGCATCTCTAAGTCCTCCTATTGGAATGCTACCCAGGCTGAAAAGGTGATGGATCCTGGGGCTTATGCTTGCTTATCTGTTGGTTTTACTACTCCTCAGGATGTACCTACAAAGCCATATTCCCATATTAAACATTTCCCTTCAAGTCACTTTGTTTTCCCCTTTTCTTCTTTCTTTTTTCCTCTGGACTAGAAAACAGAACTCTGAAACTTTTCTGGGTTGATGGTGTCTCCCTGTCTTGTCTGACTAATCTGAACCATTGAGTGGATGGTGCAGTTCTTGGATATTATGGAATCACCAGGCCTTTGAGATGATGGAAATACTCAGCAGGACAGTTGAAGGAGAAAGGAAAAAGGAGAGAAAAAGTAGTTCTGTTCTTTAATAGCTGCTAGCCTGGGATAAGGGTTTGCCAATGCTCTCACAGTGCATTTCAAAGCAGGAAGGCATTGCTTGCCCTTAAAGGGCAGACAAAGGTGATCCAACATGCAACTTGGACAGAAATCTAACATCCCTAGAAAATTTTAATCCAGCCAGTTTGTCTTTGGCAACTTGCTAAGACAAGGCTTGTAGAATTCTCTCACCTTTTTTAAGATGCAACATCCTGTGCCATTTCTGTTTTTTTAACTAAAGATTGATCTTGGTCCTAACATGTGGTGCAGTTGTCACTGGTCACCACTTTTTGAGGCTGTTTGGACACAGGGAGCTCACACAAGTCCTGAGTGGCTTCATGAGTCACCTTGAAATGGGCCCAAGAGACCTTTTCAAAAATGAGCATCTATGTTTCCTATACATTAAGGATGTGTAGGAAACATAGAGGAGAAGGAAGGGGAGAAAGAAAATTTTAAAAATTGTAAATCACACATGGATTCAAATAAGTATACCAATACTTTTTGGGATGGAAATCTCTTACTTCCAGAAAGAGGCTAGGAAATGCAGGGGAAGGAGGAAGTAGCTCAAAAAGCCCACAGTTAACTGAGGTAAACATGCTTCCATTGTCTTCCAGCTCTCCTTGGGCATAGTTAGCTCTAAAAGTAGCCAAGTTAAAAGCTTATGTTTGGCACTTTAAGCTGACTGAGACTAGATTGAATTAGTAGTCCTTAAACAGTTTGACCATTACTGTGTTATGTACCTCCAGGGTGCTCACGTCTTCCAAGGAGAGGAAACATTTCTCTCAATTTATTTCTGCTAAAGTAGTTACTGAAACAGAACCTGATGAGGTACTTTGATAGTATCTGTGGAGGAGTATCTTTATAGTTTGGTAGTGTCTGTGGAGGCTTTTAATCTTTTAGTGGATCAGGGTAAATATTGTCTGCATAACTATAAATGAAATTTTCATTATCTAACAGTCCTCTGTGGAAACAGACTAGACTGGTATTGCTGGTATTCTTTGGGGGCCAGGAGTTTTTAGGATTACAGTAGAAGCTGGGAATAATCAGGTGTGGAAGCTGAATGGTTTGCCACCTGAAGCAGTGATCCTTCCCAGTTGGATCCTTCCCTCCCAGGGAGGCAGTGGGATGAATTTTATCAGCCTGCTACAGGGGCCCTTACTGCTTTGCAGACAGATGGAGGCTCTCATTTTTCAGTACTGTCAGGCTCCTGGGCATCTGTCTGTTTCAAAAGAAAAAAGCTGACAGAAAAATGAACCCCATACTGCGTGGCTCCCACCAATTGGGTGACTTTGGAAGAGCTAAACATACTTGCAGGGATCATAAAAAGGATACCAAAATTGCATTTTGCTTCCCTTTATGAGATTGCCTACCCAGTTACTTCAGTTTTCTCCTGCCATAAAATATGGGCAAGGGGGAAAGACTGGTCTGGTGAGCAGTGGGGTGGGATGGAGAAACCTGTGCTTTAATCCCAGAGTCCAGGGGACCTGGGGCAAATAATTTAAACATCTCTCATTTATTTTATAAATAATCATGGGGTAACATTGATTCTCTTTCCCTCTGTGTTGTCTCATGCTCTGGCACAGCCTGTTCTCAGAGGCAAACTCTCAGATGGAGTAAACCACTCCAAGGGAGAGGTTTATGGGGCAATTAGGAAAGAACCAGACTTGTTACATCATTCTTACTGTCAACTCTTAGGTACTTTACCTCTTTGCTCATAGCTTTATGGATCCCTTGTGCATCCTTGAATCTAAAGCCTGTGCTTAGATATCAAACCCTTCTGTGTTCAGGGAATGGACTGGGATAAAGGGAAATGAACCTGCTCCAAAATCAGGCCTTAACACAGTGTTATCTATTTGTCAGTGTGGGTTTTGAACCTGATGCTGAAAGGAGATGAGCATTCTCCATCCCCACTGAATTAATTATTGAAGATATGTAGCATGTTCCTTGGTTTGCAGCCAGGTTCATTCTGTGCTTGGCTGTTGGATTCATGCCTAAGCGCCTAACACTCAAATTAATCTCTCTTGTAAATAATACACTGTGCATGCATTTTCTAAATGTCTGCTGGTGCAGTGCAGCTGCACATGGGCATTTAAGATGTCATTGTTTGTTTCTTCATCTAATGTATTCTTTCTTAATCCCCAGTATGGAATAGTCCTTGATGCTGGATCCTCTCGGACTACAGTCTATGTCTATGAGTGGCCAGCAGAAAAAGAAAACAACACGGGAGTAGTGAGCCAAACCTTCAAGTGCAATGTGAAAGGTGAGCTCAAAGGAAAGTTCCTTACTTGTTTTTGGCCTTGCTTGTACTGTTTATTTCCCATCCCATCCCATCCTGACTATGTCTGTTTCTGTCAGCATTAGTTCTTTTCCACTGAGACAGTAAGCTGCTCTAATCATTGCACCAGAGAAAGGAAATTGTGGCAAAATTTGATTTACTCCATGGCAGTGCATGATTGGTGCAGACAGAATTCAATCTAAAGACAGTCAGGACCTGTTAATGTTCAGTCCTTGCGTTGCTTTCAGAATAAAAGTCTTATATATATTTTGAAATAGCTTGGAATAAAAGGAGTTTTAGAAGAATGGGAATCTAGCTCTTGTTAGGTGTTAGTTGTTAATTAAGCTTCTCCACGTTACAGAACTAGTGGTAAATTGAGTAATACTGAGTAAAATTGGCAGAACTATTTCTGACAGGATGTCATTGTTTTATCAAATATGTAGCTGTGGCCTCTGTCTAAGGAAGACCTGTGTCTGTGCACAGCTGAAGATGTCCCACAGGTACCACTGCCTACCTGCCCTGTCTTTTGTCTGAGGTTTTGAATTGATTCCTCACAGACAGACAGACAGACAGACTAGGCTGACTTCTGATCACACTCCAGTATGGTTAGGAGGTTGTGGATTCCTTCATAGAAACTCTTCATCAACTTCAGTGATGTCTGACTCAGCTTGCAAAGTTATGGAAATGCCACACATTTTGTGAAGACAGATGGTCAGGGAGGGGAGGGAAATCAGGTTTTCTGTTCTTTGATGATAACTGCAGTGTTCAAAGAGAATATTTTCCTTCTGTCTCAGTCATGATCTTGCGAAGTCTTGCATCCCTCTTTGTGTCTGGAAATAGATGCTGGAGATGTAGCCACAGAGGCCCATGAGTAACAGGGAGTAGAAGGCAATGGTTTCTTAACAGCACCAGCATTTCTATTTCAGTGTTAAACATATGTGTGGACATTCTCAGCAATTCCAGAACAAGGAAAGGAAAGCAACTGTAACATGAATAGGAGTAATGCACTGCCATGTGTCTAATGATGAAATGTCCTTACAAACTGCTGGAATGGTGGCCAGCCTGCTGAGGGGAGGGGTACACTCTGCTAACTCATGTCTTGACTCATTAGGAATTTTTGCCTTTAGGAATTCTGGTTTGGGAAAAATGCACAAACTGCATTATTCTTCTTCTCAAAAAAAAAAAAAAACCCAAACAAAACAGCAGTGCCTTTTGAATTTTCTTGAATTGGTTTGGTTTTTGTTTTACCTCTGGGGAATACAAATAAATTACAAAAACGAGCAGTCCAAGTTGCTGTGAACTTCCTAGGTTCATGGCCTTAGCCATGAGCAGCCAAGTACTCCCACATCCCTCAGTGTACAGAATCACCAGGGCTCAGCCTTCTGGTCTTGGATAACTCTGCACTGGAGGAGACAGAGGGCTGGTTCATGGCAGATGTCCCCAGCTGAGCTGTGGGTGACAGTGGTGAACACATCTGTCAGTGTTTCTTTAGTGACCCTCTAACCAGTCATAAGCACTTAAACTGGGGGATAGCTCTGGGCATAATAGAAGGCAGATTTTCACACACCTACTGAACTTGAAGGTCAAATGATCAACTGCTCTGTGAGTTTTATGGTGGTTTTATTACTTCATTTCTGCCTTTATTAAGTACCTCTGCCTTTGTGTATAGGAACCAGCCCCAAATCAAAATCCTTACTTTATAGTGCAGTTAATCTGACCTGGTAAGGCTCCAAGCATTGGCAAAGCAGGCAGTTGTCCAGAAGAACATGGTCATTGCCTTGTGCCCTGTTCTGTCTGAACACTGGGAGATGGGAATCATTGCCTCACACTTCTTTGCAGCCACCAAAGAAGTGTGAGGCAATGGCAGCTGTTGAGGATGTTACTGCTCTGTTTTCCTCTGGGAGCAGCTTTCCTTCCAGTTTCAGGCCTGTTTGTGCTACACATAAGACTTTCAGAAAGTCTTATTTCAAAACCAGGGCTGTGAACATCTAATGATGATATGGTAATGTTTATGTTGAAATTTACACAGTCAAAACAGGAGTTTTGGAGTGTGGAATCTGTAAAGGCTAACATATTTTTTTCTTCTATTTCTGTCAATGCAATGGGACTGAACATAAATGGTTTCTCTTTTCAACTAAGAAATTAAATTAGGAATTAAGAAAGGTGGCTAAGCAAAAGGCTAACCTTTTGCTTAGCTTGGGACCAGGTTGTGCAAGAAATGGCTGTTACAGAGGCAGATGGAGTTCTGGCAGTTGTTCTCCATGCAACTTCCTCAGCTAGGGAATTTCAGTAAAGAATGTTTTATTTACACCCAAGTTGAGCCCAAACAAGTCAAGATCCTGATGGTCCTTGGAGTGTTGAGCAAGGCAGGACTTTGATGTTAATAGTTCAAATAGCTATGCCTTATGCAGGATAGTGTGGCTCTCATTCCTGCTCTTTGAAGGCTTTGGAAATTTGGAAAGCTGTTCTCTAGTTCATGCACCAGAGCAGACTTGTACCTCTATGAATTCAAGAGCCATTTCTGTGCATCCTGAAATGCACAGGCACCACATCCACATTGTTCATTCCATAAGCACTCCTAGTTTTCAGCCATCCTACCCTTGTTTGCAGTTACTTTGGGGGGGGGCAAGGGGGAAATGTCTTTCTCTTAACACCTGTTTACTAATTGGGCTAATTTGTAGTTGGCAAAGCAGGATGAAATCTATCTCCTTGTTCTCTTTCAGGCCCTGGTATATCCAGCTATGGGAGTAGCCCTGGAGCTCTTGCCAAGCCTCTTGATGACTGTCTGAATAAAGTGAAGGAGAGAATACCAGTTCATCTGCATAAAAACACTTCTGTTTATCTGGGGGCTACAGCTGGCATGAGACTGCTGAGGTATGGCAGAAACTTGAACTGCTCTGTATGCATACTAGCAGAGCACTCTGTGAAAACAGAACGTGAAAAATGTACTGGATGCATTTTTACCCACTGGAAATTGGCCATCTCAAAAGGAAATGGAGCCCAGCCAATTTAATTTAATAAACTTTTCTGAGAGGGAAAGCGTGTCTGCATAAAACCACTCTGTTATGCTGTATTGAAAAGAAGCTCGCTTTATTTTGGAGAAGGCAAGAGTTTAATTTTCTCTTTCACATCTGTCATAAAATACAGTGTTATGTAAACAGATGATGTTTGTGCACATCCAGGGGCAGCAAAGGCAGATGGAAGCTAGGCACTGCATTCTGAGTGTGGATGTGATCTGATGTGATATGGCTTTTGGGGTCTGTCTGTGGCTTTAGCCCTGGCACAAACTGGCTTTATTATATTTGTTATGTGGCTAAAGAGAGCTGGAAGAGAGATTCCAGGACTGTTTTTACCAGAAGCTGTCATATAAACACTCAGTTCACAAAGAATAAAGAATATATGAAGAGAAAAAAACCCACCCATGAATTTGCATGATAAAGAGTCGGGTTGGTACATACTGAGGGAGTTGCTTGCTGAAACAATGCTGGATACTGGCTGTTCCCTCTCCTAAGCTTCCCCTTTAGGGAAATAATGTCTATTTCATTTATTAGGTGATTGTAGGAGTTTTCTTGAATTGCTAGTCAGTGAACAATAAACATGAAATTGCCTTTCCAGATGCTCAGTGTCTCATGTTTTGTGAATTGCTTAGGTTGCAAAATGAGTCGGCAGCCAATGAAGTCCTTGCAAGCATTCAAAGCTACTTCAGAGCACAACCTTTTGAATTTAGGGGTGCGCAGATCATAACTGGGCCAGAGGAAGGGGTGTATGGATGGATAACGGCCAACTATTTAATGGGCAATTTCTTAGAGGTGTGTGGAAACAACTGCATGGTTTTCTTTTCACTGTTTCTCTCTTATAAATGAGAAGTTTGAGAGGACATGCCTGTTAAAGTGTCATAGTTGCAACTTCTGTTTTTCTCTGAAGTGTCTAACAGGGTCTTTTTGTGGCAGTCACAGGGCAAACATAAATCAAAGAATATGTTGTTATGGGAATGGGATATGGCAAAGGTAAAATTGCTGATCCACAAAAAACTCTCCTCTAAATGATACTGGGCATCTTACCTAAAACCAAAAGGTTAGATCACCCTTAAATGCATTGGTATGTTTAGTGTGACAGGTGTTGATTGTCTTGACAGTGGTGCCAACTATAGATCTTTTCTTCTGCTTATTTGCTATCCCTGCTGGTGAAGGACCTGCCTGGCTTAGGGGTCTCCAAATTGTTCGGCAGTGTTGGCTCACTTGTTATAAGCAGACAAGAGTGTTTGAAGCACTGAAGGTGGTCAAATAGGCCTCAGCTGAGCCAGAAATCATTCATCCACAGCTCCTTCCAAGACTGCTGACATGCTGCAGGCTACAAGCAGTAGACTGCAACACACTGTCCTGTGCAGACCCAGTGACACCAATAAAAACACACTCATGCTGTTCTTGAACTTGTGATAGGACCAGGCAGGAGCCTCAGAGCAGAGAGAGGGTCAGATGTGTTGGAAGATCCCTTTTTAGGTGCAGTTATTCAGTGTGATTTCATTCAGAGTAAAAGCTGTACCAGGACAATCTTCAATCACTCATCTGCATTTGTGGCAGGAGTGTGCTGCCCTCAGCATCGACAGCACTTCTGCCAGATTGTCTTACCAGAAATTAAATTAATTTCAACCAGTACTGCTGGGTACTGCTAGCTGTCCTGACTGAATGGTTCCATCAGATCATGGCCATTAAATAAGAAGGAATTACTTGTTGGTGCTGTGATAGCTCATGGTGAATGTGCTGGTGACTTGCAATGCTAAGAAAGCGAGTATTGGAATCACCTATTCTGTAGGAGTTTTTCTTGTTGTATGCATTTCATGCAACAAAAATCACATCATGAAGTTCAAGGTGGTGTCAGTCTTCTACCACATGAATTTTAATAATCCAAATATCAAATTCCATATGGCAAATTCATAAAAATGGACTGCAAGATGCTGTGAAACCAGTTTAGTCCAGAGAGTTCCGTGAAGACATATGTGTGGAATATCGCTAGTAGAAGAGAGAAATTCTGACCTTTCTTGTGACAACAGGCTGAGAGTCAAATTCTGTGAGGGATTGTTTATGGGAATTTTTCACTGTAGAATTTTATCCTGAATGTATTTGCTAGCCCATAAACCCCATTGTTTCCCTTCTTGTGTATGCATTCTTCTCATTATGCTCATTGGGTAAATATTGACATAGATAATCATGGAAAATCTGTATTTGGCACTGTGACTATGTAGATCAAATACAGAATTTGGGGAATATTTTGGGTAGTAGGGAAAAATGCCATCTGAATGGATCAGACTGCAGTTTCAGTGGAGGAAATGTGCAGATTAAGAGTCCTTGCTCTTTTGACTTTGATGGAGCTTTCATTTGACTGTTTTGCATTTTCCACTCTATTTCCACTCTCTATCTCTGTGATCTCTTAGTATTCTATTCCTTTAATATTTCTTCTTGCCTTGAAATAAGCAAATCTTCATACCATTTCCATCCAGATTTGTTCAATTTCTCCTGGGTATCTGAATTTCAGTTCCCTACATTCTAGGATAGACACTGCTCTGGCTAGTCCTATGCTTTGGTCATTGTGCTGTCCTATTGAGTGGAACACCATGCTGCATTTGTTCTCCCATCTTTCAAGATCATTTGACTCTCTGAAAGTACATCCCCCTTACATAAAAACACCTGCACCTTTTCCTCATAGTTTTTTTCTTTGAAAGAGTGTAGGACAAAGAAGGGGGGGAAGTTTCAAGAAGTAAAGAGTAGAAAAGCTTGTGGGAGAACAAGCAGATGATATTTCTAATTTGCCTTGTTTTTAATTTTGCATGTAGAGAAACCTTTGGAGGACATGGGTCCATCCTTACAGAAAAGAGACCATGGGTGCACTGGACCTTGGAGGAGCTTCCACTCAAATTTCATTTATCCCTGAGGACCCTGAGGAGCACCTCAATAGCACCTTGCAAGTGAAGTTGTATGGGTACAACTACAATGTCTACACTCACAGCTACCAGTGCTATGGGAGAGATGAAGCTGAGAAAAGGCTTTTAGCATTGCTGCACCAGGTCTGTTTAAGACCCTTTGCTATGTTGCTCTTGCAAGTGTTCAGTGATTGTCTGGGCAGCATCTTAGGCTTGTGTTCTCTTCCCTTTGCTGGAGTCTGGAGACTCCAGTAAGATCTCAGCTGTCCTTTGTTGTAGCCAAACACACTCAGGTTTCATTCAAAGAACTTAATATTTGTCAAAAATTAGTGAGAGTTCCATGCCATTTGACAAAACGGCCTTGTAAATATTATGCTGATCTTGCGAACGACTTCTGGAGAAAAGAGTTTCTATGAATTATACTGATCAGCAGTGTTGTGCTGACCAGTCATGTCAGTGAACAAAAATACATGTATCTGCATTTCAGAAAGATTCCTGTAGCTCATGCCAAATTAGGTCTTTCTTGCTTTTGACTAGTATTTATTGTTTGGGTTTTCTTGTTTGTTTTTGTTTGATTCTTTTTCCCCCCAGAAATCAAAGGCCAGTGCCAACGTGGATAATCCCTGCTACCCTCAAAATTATAACACAGCATTAATGATGAAGGACTTCTTTGGCAGCCTATGTACACAGTCTCTGAGGCCAGCAAATTACTACCCAAACCAGCTTGTGAATTTCCATGGAACAGGAGACCCAGGTCTGTGCCAGGAGATGGTTTCTTTATTGTTTAACCTCACTGCTTGCAGAGACAAAGAGGACTGTCCATTTAATGGAATACATCAGCCAAAAGTTAAAGGGAATTTTGTGGTAGGTTTGCAAACAGTGTCCTTCTTTCTGAGCTTGCATGCTCTTGTTTTCTCTAGTTCTGAAAGTAACCTGACATCTACTCCTTTTCTATAGGCTTTCTCTGGATTCTACTATACAATTAATGCTTTGAATTTATCTGGGCAATTTTCCCTAGATGACTTCAATTCAAGTATGTGGTTTTTCTGTTCACAGAGCTGGGCACAGGTAAGTGGATTGGTTGGTTGGTTTTTGGTGTTGTTGTGATTTTTCCATTTTAAACCTCTAAAAGAGGGATATAAAAATAATATGGACCAGCTATGTGTTCAGAACCTTTCAAAAGGTGTGTATCAACCCAGCATTCGTTTTTCCACTGTGCTTCAAACCATGTAGTATTTCTGTCATGCTTAACACTTGGAATAGGTTTCAAAATTTCATTTAAAGTTCTAACCACACTGTAGAGATGATATGGAAATTTTAGAAACCATAACATCCTCAATCTTCAATGTGCATTTTTTTGTTTATTTTCATTGTTTACTACATAAGCTATGTCACTTTTAGAGTCTTTCTGAATCCCTGTATCTAGTTGTCTACACCTTTACTTGGTATTTCTGAAAAATGTTACTAACTTCTAATTAGAACCCAAATAGTCTCTAGTTACAAAACCCAAAGCATTTTCCATAATTAACATTTTTTTTTAAAAAAGCCTTTTGCTTTCAGCTCCAGTTTATGCTGCCTAAATTTGAAGAAAAATATGCTAGATCCTACTGTTTCTCAGCCAATTTCATTTATTACTTGCTTGTACATGGTTACAACTTCAACGCAGAAACTTGGCCACAGATACATTTTCAAAAGGAGGTGAGGAATAATAATTTTCTATTACTATCATTTTAATCCAATGAGCTTGAGGAGGAGACAGAGGATGCAGCAGCCTGCAAAAACAAAATGGTTGTAAACAGCCTTGGTAAATGACTGTCAAATGTTTGGCATAAGACAAAACCACTTTTCAAACCCCAAGAGCAATCTCAGCCTGTTTTCAGGGGTCTCAGCATTACTTGGAGATGCTACACAGATTCTTTTAAAGGGCTTTAAGCAAAAATCAAACTCTTGTGTTTAAACATTTCCACAGTATTTTGCTCCAGGCAGTGATCTGCCTAAAACACCTCACAAGTCAAGGTCAGTTTGAGCCAGCCCTGCTGAGCTGGAGAGCAGAGCTGTGCTTTGCAGTCTCCTGGCAGAGCCCTGGAGGAACTGGCAAAGAGGGCTGGAGTCACTGAGTGGTGATGAAGCAACGAGGACACTTTTCATCCTCACCCAGCTCATCCATCTGTGCCATAATCTGGCTCTCTGGAATAAGGATGTATTTTGATGGGGTATTGCCTTTCAGTTGACAGAGAAAGGTTTATAATATCTGTGTCATTGATGCATTTCTTTTCCTCTCTGCTGCTGCACAAAGCCTTACTCTAAAATCCTATCCCAGACTGTCTCCTAATGTCCATATAGTTTGGAAATGCTTCAGCACTTGCATGCAAAGCCAACAAAAGAATAGGTTGTAGATCTTCATGGTGTATGCCTAAATCCCCTTAGCTGCAGGGGATGCTGGCAGGCTGTGAATGAGAAATCAAAAGCAATTTTTTCTGAATAGTCATATTTATTACTTGTGCACTAAGGAATCAAGTAGCATTTTCTTGCCGTATTTTGACCTCTGGTGGACAATCATTAGCAGCTCTGGAGGATTGTCCAAAGTTGAGCTGTCCCACCAGGAAAACAGCATAGAGTACTTTGAGATCTTAATCTCCACTGGGCGGGGCGTGGGGTGTGGATTTGTCTTAATATTTAAATATATATTGTATTGTCCCTAGCAAATAAGAGCAGCCAGAAAAAGCAACATTTTCTTGTGCTTAGCCAAGACTATAAAAATACTGAGACAAACAAAACCCCAAAAGGCTTATTTAAAATTAATACCTTTGTTGCCTAGATTTTACACTAGGGTAATCATGAAACTCCAAAAGGCAGAACTACATTCTCTTTATTAGATCTGCCCCTACTAAAACAGTAAGATCTAATGTTGGCTGATCACCTAAGCTACCCTAGAGATAACAGCACAATCTTACTATGACTGGAGGGTGGGTTTTTTGTCTATGCTAGCAGTATATATTTCCTTTTAATTAGTGAACACAACCAATGAAAAGAACCTTGGCCTAGTGCTAAGATCTGGGTGAGATCCAGAGCTAGATGATTTGCAATAATTATAAGTTTTAAACCTCATGATGAGAGGAAGACAGAGGACACTTTACCTTTTGATCCTTTGTTTATCAAGTGGCAGGACAATGACTTAATGGAAAGGAGAGTGGAAAACTGGTAAACTCTGTTGCTCAAACTAGAACTGGGGAAAGGCGGCAAAGCAGGACCATGGAGCAAATACAAACATACTCCCTTGGCTGTTATTTCATCCATTTTGGAGAAGTTTTAAATTTATGTTTATTTTTTTAAACGGAAGAGCCTAGTTTTGGTTCATTTGCAGGCACAAAACCAAACATGGAACAAAAGATGATAAATAGAGTTCCTCTTTGGGGACTTTATCCTCACTTCCTCTTTGTCCCCGTTGGTGAGACTCCTTGTGGGTTTTTTTTGTTTTCTTGAACTCAAATGACATCCTGGGATTTGGCTAAGGTGAGGGGCTAATTTTAGGAATTGGCACAGCAGGCAATAGAATTCCTAAAATAGGAATTTTAGGAATTGGCATAGTGGTCATGGGGTTTTCTATTTGTTTGTTTAAAATTGCATAACTGGCTGCCTGCATATACACCACACATCTCTGTACCCCTCCAATACCTGTGTCTCGCTTCTTTAAATTTTATTACCATCTTCTGGAACTACAGGAAAAGGGTAATTTAAAATGGTTCTGTATCTTCTTTGCATATTCCACTAAATGTTTCTCCTTGCTAATTTAAAGGACAGTTGCCATTAACAGCAGTTGAGCTCTTGGAGTCTTTGAAAATTCCATGGGAATAGGAGTCTTCTGTCTTCATTTCAGGTTGGCAACAGCAGCATAGCGTGGTCCCTCGGTTACATGTTAAGCCTCACCAACATGATTCCAGCAGAAGGGAAGCTGATCCAGCTGCCTCTGAAACCTTCTCTGTTTGCTGGGCTCCTCGTCTTCCTCACAGCCACGGCACTGCTGTGCCTCCTCTTCCTCGTCTACCTGTGCGTTGTGTCGCACCAGCGGAAGGACGTCCCTCGCGTGGAACACGTATTTATTCCAGAATGAATGAACCTGGCTGGAGACAAACCAAAAATGTTACAGTGCTACTAAACAGAACTTTATTTTGCCCCCCATTTTTCAAAAATAGAGACAGCAAAAATGACTTCTGGACCAGAAGCATAAAGAGAAGGGGCACAAAGGAATCTGTGTTATGGTGAATTGGAGTGCTTTTGAAATGTTTGGGTAATTGTTTCTGTAAACTTAATTTGTCCAGTGTGCAGCAGAGAAAACACAGGCATATATGTCACTTTGCTTTATAAGGGATTACTTGCCTTTTCCTGACAGGTGTGTATATATTGTTTTTTTTGTTCATTAACTCTGTGCTAGCTGCTGAGCTCAAGTAGTGATGGATTTGATCACAGTGGCAATTGTTTAAGATAAAATTTTAAATGAGCCAGTAGCAACTGTGGGAGGTGGGAACGTGGTAGCTGTCCTTGTGTGCAGTGCTGACTCTAAAAGCCCTGAAGTAATCTAATTTCTGAAGCTGGAACAAGCACTGGATAATGACAAGAAGTGAAAGAGTTGTGATAAAATTGTTTTTATTGCTGTTCCAAATGGATTGATCCCCATCACAAGAAGGTGTAATAAACTGTCAACACTTCTCAGAACTTTTGAGCCTGTCAGAGCTATATCTTTTGGTACCATGGAGACCTCAAAACACCTCTGGTCTGGTACATAAGATTGGCTTTGGAGGTGTAACAAAATGCTTTCACACTTTAGTAAATGAACCTAAATTTAAATGTCTCATGGTTGCCTTCAGAAGACACTGGAGTTTTCAGGGTCCTATTCTAACTTTCACAGAAATGCTTTTTGTAGTTTTTCACACTGAAGCCTTGACCTGCATACCCCACATATTGTTGGTCTCAGACAGTGGCAGTCTGTACTGATTTGACATGTATGCAGCTCTATGGGCAGAGTCTCAGATCTGGACATTCCATTAACATGTTAAGCCCTTCTTTCAAGGCCAAGAGGAACAGGAGCCAGTCTCCAGGCCAGCAAACCATCCTTTTAGCTGCTGTCATGGCTCTAGTGCCTTGGTCAGCCTCTGCACTGTCCTTGAGCAGCGCTGGGATCACCTGGCAGCTGCTTCTGCCAAACATTGTGACTCCTGAGCTTTCCTGCTGCTGCCTTCATGCAGCAAACAGCTGCCTTCCTTGAAAGCCCAGCGTTCTTCACCAAACCTCACACTCCCTTAAATCTTAAATCACACTCCCTTAAATCTTAGCACTCTCTCAGCTTCATCTATCCCCAGTATTGATTAGGGAATGGATAGGAGAACAGTGGCCAGTATTTTTACCCATAAATAATGTTTTTAATTTCAGCCTTTTGCTTCTATATCACCTTCTTACTTATGTTTGGTGATGGGGTTGGGGTTTTGTTTTCATTTGTGCTTTGTTCATAGGCTGACAGATGATTTCAAAGGAGCTAAATATATTTTTAAATGAAAAATAGAAAAAAGTGATTTTTCAAGGAGATCAATAGGGCTTTGTACCTTCTCTGTTGATATACTGCTAAGCCTTGTCAGTCTTATTGGAGTAGCAATAAGGTAAAAGGTATTATAAGATGATGAAGAGCTCTGTGGCATCAAAGTTTTATCTGATAAAGTGTAAAATTGACTTCAGAGTGCATGGACATTACAGAGGCTGGCGTGAGATATATTGTGTGATGGATGTGTAACTGCAGTTATGGGTGAAAAAAACTCAGACAGTTGGATGAGAGAATTAAAATGTTTTCTTTTGTTGCCAATTTTCAGTGGAAAATTGTACTCTGGAATATTTACTTGCCCAACAAAACATTTGCTATTGAGTGGCCGGGCCATTCAGATGTGGTTTTACACAAATGGAACACACTTGGAAGTTGGTCTCTGTAGAGCTGGCAGCTAAAGAACAATTAAATTTGTTCAAAAACCATTTGGACTTCAAGATGCACTTGGATAGGCCCAGCATCTGTTCAAAGAATCAAATTCCCCCTGTGAATCACCTGTTTTGCTTTTTTAGTGCTTCCCTCTTGTCCTTATGCATACAGCCTCCCTCAGTGTCACCAGGATACCCACCTGCTCCCTTGTACCTCTCCTGGCAGCTTCAGATGGGAAAGCTGAGGGTGTTGAACTTCCAGCCCAGCAGCTTCAGTGACCACAGCCAACTCCTCCCCCAGGTGTGAGCTGGAACCAGATCAACAGGCCAGATCCCTGTCCTGCTGTCTAGAACTGAAAGGATCTCTGGGAGATACAGGGAAGTTGACAACACTTGGGAATGTGTACAGAGGTTATTTAACTTTTTACACTCTTCAGTGCCTGCTTATGAAGATCAATAAAATTGTGAAAAATTAAGCCAAGCAGACTTTTTATTTTTAGCATGTCTTAGAGGATAGCACCCCCCGCCCAGTATTTTCATTCTGGTAGAAAAGCTATTGTTAATAGAGAGGGGAGAAATGTTGTTCTAGGGGGTGGAAATTTGCAAGCTGCAAAACTGATCCGGGTTCTGAAGTGGACAGGACTCTCCTGAATGCCATGTTCTCAGCAAGAAAACCTTGATGGTTAAAAGCAAGACACTCTCTCATATATATATATATATGCGCTATAAGGTCTAATTTCCTGCTGGTTAGGTTTGAAATTTGTGGGGTTTTTTCCCCCCAGCCAGCAACCAAGCCCCAGGTAGCGGCTCGCTCGCTCCTCCACCAAGCAGGATCAGGGTGAGAATGGAAGGGTAAGAGCTGGAAAACTCATGAGTTGAGGTAAAGACAGTTTAATAAAGTAAAAACTACACACACAATTAAATGAAAACAAATAATTAATTCATTGTTCCTCATGGGCAGCTGCTGTTCAGCCACCTCCAGGAGAGCAGGGCTCCATCATACATGGCAGTGACTTGGTGACACAAACACCGTCACTCCAAATGTCTCCTGTTTCCTCTTCTTTCCCTACGTTATAAACTGAGCATGATGTCCTAAGCTCTGGAATATCCCTTTGGTCAGTCTGGGTCACCTGTCCCAGCTGTGTCTCCTCCCAACCCCCCAAACTGCATTCCCAATTCCCAGCCAGTGTGGCACTATGGAAAGCAGAAAAGGCCTTGGCTCTGTGCAAGCCCTGCTCAGCAACAACAAACACATCTCTGTGTTATCAATCCTGTGCTCAGCACAAATCCAAAACACAGCTCCACACAGGCCACTGTGAAGAAAGGTAACTCTACAGCCGAAAGCGGCACGAAGTGTACCAGCCCACACACCAAGAGCGTTCTGACTTTGGACAGTCTCGGTGTGTCCCACGCTGCACGGCGCAGGCAGCGCTCAGGCTGGGCGGCACAGCGGCCAGAGAGACACAGATTAATGCAGTGCCTATGGAGGAGGGCAGGACCTGCAGGCGGTGAGAGGAGAACTGATTCTCCTGGACAGCACCTCCTGCCGCCCTGCAGTCCGACAGGCGGACACACGGACAGGAGACCTGGCACAGGGATGGGAAGGGACGGGCACCCAGACGCCACAGCGCATGCGCGCGGCGGAGCTACGGCCAGGCGGAGCGCGCGTCCCCATGGCCGCCCCGTCCCGCCCCGCGCAGGCGCAGCGGGGCCGCCTAGACCGCTTCCGGGCGCGTTGGGGCCGCTCCGCCCTCTCTGCTGCTGCCGCCATCATGGTACGTGCGGCCATGCCCCGCTCCGCCGGCCCCGCCGCTTCCCGCCGCGCTCCCGCCGCTTCCCGCTGCATCTCCCTGCATCTCCCTGCCGCCCGAGCACCCCCGCCCGCGCCTCCCTGCGCCGGCACCCGCGGCAGCGGCGGCGGGGAGCCCGCGCCCGCCTGAGCGGCGCTGGGCCGGGGCCGCGCTCCGCGTGTGGTGCGGGCTCGGGCAGGGCCGGGCTGGGGGCGCCGCGGGAGCCCCGCCGCTGTGCCCAGGCGTGGGGGTTTCGTGCGGTCCGAAGGGTTTCCAGGAGCTGCAGGGAACTTAGAGGAAGGATGGGGTAGGACTGTGTGCAGGAGTATGTGGTGCTGGGCAGGGGGGAATGGCTTCAAACCGAAAGGGAGTAGGTTTAGATCAGCTAGTAGGAAAAAATTCTTTACTGTGGTTGTGTTGAAGCATTGGAACAGGCTATCCAGAGAAATTGTGGATGCCCCATCCCTAGAATTTTTAAAAACCTGGATGGTGCTCTCAGGAACCTGGTGAAGGGGAATATGTCCCTGCCCACGGCAGGGAGTTGGGACTAGGTGATCTTTGAGGTCTCTGTCCAACCCAAACCATTCTGTGATTTTTTGGGAGCTCTTTAAAGGTTCTCAGATCCTTGAATCTGAAGATGGCCTTGGGTGTGTTCTCACCTAACTCTGTCTATTTCTTCCCTCCCAGGTGTTCAAGCGCTTCGTGGAGATCGGCAGAGTTGCCTTCATCTCCTTCGGGCCACACGCTGGCAAGCTGGTGGCCATCGTGGATGTTATTGACCAAAACAGGGTAAGTTGTGAGTGCTGCCCGTGGATTTCCTCCTTTCTGCCGTAACTGAGGCTTGTATGCTAAGGCTGTGTGTATTGATTTCAATAGAAATTCTGTTTTCAAATAAGCAATTGATAGAAGGGTAGGGTTTAACAACTTGTATTTGATACCTTTAGGAGCATGCTTTTGCCCCCCAGCAAGTGATACATCTCTCTGCTGTGTTTCCTTGGTGTAGAAGTGGACAAGGGATGTCAGTTGGAATCTGAACTTATTAATTAAATCTAAACTTATTAATTAAATATATAAAGTGACTGTTTGGGGTTGGGGACTCTTGGGGACTCATCTTAGTTTTGTCCACTTTTTTTTTTTTTAAATTCAGTTTGGTTTTTTGTCAAAGGCAGGCCTTCAGTTCTTTTTTTTTTTCTGTAAAGCTTGGGTTGTACAGGCAGGATTCAACAATCTCCACTTCTGTCTGCTTAATATGTGTTTCATTTTGGGATGAGTGTTGTCAAGATACTGTTCATACATTATTAGGCAGCAGCTGTCTAAATCGAATGCAGTGGGAAATCTGCTGCAAACCCCCCACATTTGTTTCCCTTTTCCAGGCACTGGTGGATGGCCCGTGCAGTGGTGTCAGGAGACAGGCCATGCCCTTCAAGTGCATGCAGCTGACTGACTTTGTCCTCAAGTTCCCACACAGGTGAGCTGGCATCTTTTCTTGACCTGCCTAAAAAAACCCCCACGCTGTCACCTGATAGGTGATCCTTGCTAAGTCTAGAAGGTTCAAACAGTAGTGGATTAACAGTAAAAATTTGGCATGCTGTGATACCATAGTTGAATATATTTAGGTTTTCATTGCCAGTGTTGGCTGGTAGCTGCTGTTGAGGAGCAGAGGAAGTCTCACAGGTAGTTCTGTGGTGGATGGTGTGGGGGAAAGCAGGGTAAATGCTGCTGCAGCTTTGCTTTTGCTACTGCCTCAGTCACCTTCAGGCATTAAATAGGCTCCCTGCCTACAGAACCACACTACGATTGTAGGAGGCTGAACTCATTCTGTTCTTTTAGCTCAGTTAATGTATGAATTTCTGTAATTTAGAATCAGAAAGGGGCAGTGCTTCTGATCCTGAAGCAGTGCTAGGAGCAGCTGCTCATGTGAACAGTGAGGTGGTTTGGGAGCAGATCCCAGGGGTCCATGGTCAGTGGCACAGGGTCTGGTTGGTGGCTTGTCACCTGTGGTGTCCCCCAAGGTTCAATACTGGGCCCAGTATTGTTTAACTTACTCATCAGTGACTTGGATGAAGGGCAGATGCCTCCTCAGCGGGTTCATTGGTGACACAGAGCTGGGAGAAGTGGCTGATATCCCAGAGCACTGTGCTGCCATTCATCTCAGCAGGCTGGAGAGATAGGCAGAGAGGAAACTTTGGAAGTTCTACAAGGGCAGGTGCAGGGTTGTGCAGCTGGGGAACAGTAATCCCGAGCACCTGCACAGGATTCAGGCCAACCTGCTGGAAAGAGCTCTGCAGACAAGGACCTGAGGGTTCTGGTGGACAGCAAGCTGTCTCTGAGCCAGCAGTGTCCTTGTGGCCAAGAGGGCCAGTGGTGTCCTGGGGGCATTAGGAGGAGTGCAGCCAGCAGGGTGAGGGAGGTGATCCTGCTCTGCTGAGGCCACACCTGGAGTGCTATGTCCACTTCTGGCCTCCTCAGCACAAAAGAGGTGTGATCTCCTGGAGCTCAGGAGGCTGAGCACTGAACAGGTTTCCCAGAGAGATTATTGGGTCTCCCTCACTGGAGATACTCAGGAACCCCTGGACACAATCCTGTGCCATGTGCTCTGGGATGGCCCTGCTTGAGCAGGGAGGTTGAAGTTGGTGACCCCCCTGTGGTTCCTTCCAGCCTGACCCATCCTGTGATTCTGTCTGTTCTGGCACAGCACTTACTCCACTTACTCAACAGAATGTTAATTAGGCCACAGAGATGCTAAGGTGTCTGAAGTAATGTAGAGGAGTCATCTTCCCTTGAAATGAATGAAATTTGGGAGGCCAGCATCAGTGAGAGCCTTTTTTTTCCTAAAGACTGTGAATCTGATTTTGTGACTGTTCCCATGCAGCGCTCGGCAGAAGTGTGTGCGACTTGCCTGGGAGAAGGAAAACATAAATGAGAAATGGTCAGCGACAAGATGGGCAAAGAAGATTGAGGCCCGAGAAAAGGTAACAGTGTTTCACTGAATGAGGAGTACATGTACTGCTTCTGCTTTGTAAAATTAGATACAGTCTAAAGGCTGCATGATTTCAATAGCAAGTTAGGATTAAAGGTAGACAAGGCATAGGTTTTTAACTTACCAGCTTAAATGTCTGATATTTTAACAGTTCATGGGGTTTTGTTCAGTTGTTTCTGTAACAGCCTCTTTTTCCTGCATCCTGGGATGGTGCAAAGGCCTTAAACTGTGAGCTAGTTCCAGAAGTGCAGCTAAACATCATTTGGAGATGATCAGTTACTTTAGGAATGCTTTGGAATGCCGAGTTGTACTACTTGCATATATCAGAGTTTCATGACTTATTGTTTTCACACAGAAAGCCAAAATGACTGACTTTGATCGCTACAAGGTGATGAAAGCAAAGAAAATGGTAAGTGTTTGAGTGCTGCTTCTTCATGGGGTTAATGCTTGTAGCTTTCACTTCAGAGTCACATCCAGTGTTGGTAGCTTACTTTCACAGCTGGCTTGGGTTATGGGATGGCACTGTGGGTGTGAATGCCTTGAATTTTCCATGCTTTTTTGTATGTCACCACTTTCTCTTCTGTAGTTGGTAAGACTTGAGTTTGTATAATCCATGTGTCAATCCTCCCAAGTCATAGCTGAGGATGGAATTGCCAGCTGATAAAATCAAGTATTCTGGATGGGTAGCTGTTAGTATTTCACCCTC